TATTACCCTGCAGTTCTGACTGACAGAAATAAGTGGGGAAATGAAGGAGTAACTTCTCTGGGAGCTAAGCTTAGAGAGGTCTCAAACTGAGAACCTTGCTATTTCTTTTTTTTTTTAAATTTAAAGACATTCCGATGAAGTCTCCTATTTGGTATGCATGTCTTGGTTTGCTTTTTACATGCACTTTTAATTGTTTATTATGACTCGAGGTCATAAAAACAAAACAAAAAATCTGAGTTTGTCTGGATTTCAGAATGGCCAGAATATTAGCAATATATCTAAAACAGGAAGACGTTTTGTCCAATCAAACCCAAAGGAAAAAGAAAGTATACAAGCTGATGGAGTAGAGAACAGGAACATTAAATATTTATAGGACATTAAGATTATAAACTCCCAGTTCTGCTGGGTATCCTAGACAGAACTATAACTCATTCAGGGGAAACTGAATGAATGAATGAATGAATGAATGAATGAATGAATGAATGAATGAATGAATCAGTCAATCAACCAATCAACCAATCTTCATTGTTCCCTAAAAACTGGTAAGGATAGGACCTGGAAATCCTAACTAGCAAGACATTCCTTTAACTTTGAAGCCACCACAGAAAAGGCCCTATCCGTCATCTAACTGTAGGGGATAAAGTCTGTTGACTTTAAAAGGTTTCAAGCCATTTGTCAATTTAAAGATAAGAATTATAGGGTTGAATTGGGTTTCAGAATCAATGGATAAAGGAAGCCACACATTTTTGGTCAAGGTCTCTTCTCAGTGCACGGAATCAAGTGAAGGGAACTACAGATTACGATTCAACGGTAAGCAAAAAGAAGCAGGCGCATTTCAGTCAATAGAAGATGCAATTATTAAGAGATGTGGTAGGTTCTCATTCACTAATTGTGCTCAGGCAGAGAAGAGACAGCCATCTGTCAGAGCTCTGTAATTTGTATTTTTGTGCCAAATAGGGATTGGGATAAGATAGCCTAAATGGCCCCTTTCAGCTCTCAGAGGCTAGACAGCCATCTGTCATGGATGCTCTTAATTTTTATTCCACTACTGCACAGGAAGTTGAACTACAATTTGATTATAATTCCCCTGCTTCACTTTCAACCATAGATGACAGTTTTAGGTTACTGCTGCTTCACCCCCCCCCCTTCTGAAAAACTATTGCATGTCTCTACCTACAACTACGTAATCTCAGGGGCTGCCACATAGAAGAGAGAGTCAAGCTATTCTCCAAAGCACCTGAAGGCAAGACAAGAAGCAACTAATCAAGGAGAGAAGCAACCTAGAACTAAGGAGAAACTTCCTGACAATGAGAACAATTAATCAGTGGAACAACCTGCTTCCAGAAGCGGTGAATGCTCCAACACTGGAAGTTTTTAAGAAGAGACTGGACAACCATTTGTCTGAAATGGTATAGGGTTTCCTACCTGAGCAAGGGGTTCGACTAGATGACCTTCAAGATCCCTTCCAACATCATCATCATCATTATTTAAGAATTGTGGGAGGCTTCCTTGGTCATTCTTAAAGAGTTTCCATAATAAATTAGATCCACTGGCTAGCTATGACCAGTCTTCAGAGGCAGCCCCACAAATAACACCTTGCAATATACCAGCCCGATTCTTACTAGGATATGGATAAATGTGGAAAGATTGGGATACCACTTCTTTAGACTTCTACAAAATAGAGGTAAGTTTTATACACTGGTGCTTAAAAATTTGTGAACCTTTTGGAATGTTCAGTATTTTTCCAAAAATATGACCTAAACGAAATCAGTTCTTCACACAAGTCCTAAAACTCGATAGAAAGAACCCAATTAAACAATTAAGTCAAAACATTACACTAGTTCAGGAGTAGGCAACCTTGGCTCTTTTATGACTCATGGACTTCAACTCCCAGAATTCCTGAGCCAGCATGGCTCAGCTTGGAAACCTCTCCCTTTCCCCTCAGCATGGCTGGCTCAGGAATTCTGGGAGTTGAAGTCCCTGAGTCATAAAAGAGCCAAGGTTGCCTAGCCCTGGCCTAGGCCGCTTTCTGTCTTGTGGACTTCAACTCCCAGAATTCCTGAGCCAGCATGGCTCAGTTTGGAAACCTCTCCCTTTCCCCTCAGCATGGCTGGCTCAGGAATTCTGGGAGTTGAAGTCCACAAGTCATAAAAGAGCCAAGGTTGCCTAGCCCTGGCCTAGGCCGCTTTCTGTCTTGTGGACTTCAACTCCCAGAATTCCTGAGCCAGCATGGCTCAGTTTGGAAACCTCTCCCTTTCCCCTCAGCATGGCTGGCTCAGGAATTCTGGGAGTTGAAGTCCACAAGTCATAAAAGAGCCAAGGTTGCCTACCCCTGCACTAGTTCATCAATCTATTGAGGGAAACGATCCGTAGTTATATATTGTGTGCCCTCTTAATTATTGGAAATCTTCAGTTGCAACTGGTATTTGTATTTATTTTTTATTTATTTGGAAAATTTATATTGCCTTCTACTTCCACATGGCGACTCAAGGCGGCTTACGGGAAATAAAAACACAATATAAAAGAAATAAAAATAATAAAATAATAACCCCACACACCCCACACCCTGGTGACAATGCACATTCATACCAGCTAGTTAATGGGCTCCATCCTGTTCTGGGTTCCCCAGGCCCGCTGGCAGAACCTTCAGGGTCTTTAGGGCCTTACGAAAGAGTGTCAGAGTGGGGGCCAGTTTAATTTCTGGAGGGATGATGTTCCAGGGGGAGGGAGCCACCACAGAGAAGTCCCTTTTTCTGGGCCCTGCCCAATGTATCTCTTTAGGGGACGGGACCCTCAACATTCCTTGCCTCCACTTTCTAGTGGTTGGGGCGGATGTGACTGGCAAGAGACGGTCCCTCAGATAACTCAGACCCAAGCCATGAAGGGCTTTAAAGGTGACCACCGACACCTTGGATTATGAACTGCCTGCTTCAGGTCTTTAAACATATGTTTAAATTAGATGAAAGTGAGTATTTTGGGAGCAGTAGACATTCTTTAATGGAATGATCAATACAATAATAGACCAGGTCATGCATCCTAAATAATGTGGATGAAGCAAATAAATGTATGTTAGATTTACTTGACATTCCCACTGCTGGGGAGAATTTCTCTGATAAAAATGAATGTTTTTGTTTCAGACAATACCTGTTTTGACAACTGATGTGTCATTCAGGCAGTGGCAAAGTGATATATCTAAATTTATACAGCAAGAGGGAAAACCCATAAATTAAATACATGATGTTACAAGAGGCAAAGAAAGGAGGATGGGAATTAGATTTAGTGGACTTCAAATTGTATTTTGCAGGTTGTTATTTGGTTTGGATGAAAAAAGGGATGTTGCTGAAAAACAAAGTATTTTTAGAGTTAGAAGTGCACAACCTGGGCTATGAATGTCAGCACAAGAAGCATGTTATAGAAAAGAAACAACGGGCAAAGACAAAAGGTTAATGTACCACGAATTATTGAAGAATCACCAAGGGAATATAAAATTAAATCAAGAGAGTAACTAAGGGCAGAAGGATATAGTTGTCAAACATTTTCCTACTTACAGTTATAATAATAGTAATAATAATAATAGTAATAGTAGTAGTAGTAGTAATAATAATAATTGGGATCATAAAATAGAGAAAGTCATAGAAAATGATAAAATTAAACTGCTCTTGGACTTCAGAATTCAAACAGACAAGCACCTGCAACATAACACCCCAGATTTAACAATTGTCGATAAGAAAGACAAAAAAGTCTGGATAGTGGACGTGGCAGTGCCTGGAGATAGCAGAATAGAAGAGAAAGAACTGGAGAAGATAACAAAATACAAAGACCTACAAATAGAAATAGAAAGACTGTGGCAAAAGCAAGCAAGGGTAGTACCAATAGTCATAGGCTCCTTGGGTGCAATCCCAAAACAACTGGAGCACCACTTGAACACCATTGGCATTGACAAATTCGCTATTAGTCAATTGCAAAAGGCGGCCTTATTAGGAACTGCTTCCATCCTGCGACGATATCTGTAATACCATCAAACATCCACATCTGCCTATCCCAGGTCCTGGGTAAGGACTCGATAGGTAGACAAAATGCCAAATCCAGTCTGAACATCTGGCTGACTGTGCGATGATCAATAATAATAATAATAATAGAAGCAACCTGGAATTAAGGAAAAACCTCCTGACAGTGATCCCAATGTTGAGTCATTTTCATTCAATCAATTGCCTTTCTATCCATCCTACTTGATGCAAAAAATTTAAAGAGGACCATAATATTCCAGAGGACTATGTGAGCTGAAAGGATGTTTCCCACCACCCAGGAGGAGAAGCATATGGTGAAATGAAAGGTAATGTGGTAATCACAATATGATATAAATGTTAAGTAATTGGAAAGGCAATCAAACAGCTGGTACGAAAATCTCCTTACCTAGCAAGGACACATTTCCTGTGACAATTCTCAGATACGATGCAAAGGAAATAAAGGCATTACACAAAATCTCTCTGGGTTAGGAAACTGCCAGCAAGGCTGGAAGGAGGGGTCAAATGAGGACCTAGCTTGGAGTCACTGCACAGTCACAAGCAACATAAGCTTGACCTCCCTCAAAATCCAAAAAGCCTTATCTGATTGTTCCCAGGGGAAGGCAGGAAGTCTGGTGAGATTCTTGTAATAAAGGTGGCAGACAATGAAGTTACTAATTTTAGCTATTCACGAGTGCCTCAGGTTGCTTGCATCTGACTTTCTCTTACACACACACACACACACACATACACACATCCAATCAGAAACAAATCAAGCCACCTTATTTATGATTAACAAGACATGTTATCCAGTTTTAGAAGAGCAGGGTGTCTATGAGCATACTCCAATCAATTCATACCACAATAAAATTGCTGAGGGGATGTGCGCGTAGGTGGAAAACAGGGGTTACACTCTGCAATGGCACACAAATGATTGGGGCTTTGTATCAAGATATTAATTACAAGCGAAAGTGTTCAGCTGGGCTGTTCACATACCTGTCCAGTCTCCTATGACTTTAATGTGCACTCCAAATGTTGTCTTGGTAGCTGTTGGGCACTGCAAAATGAAGCAAGTTAAAATAATCAATAATAAAGCAATACTAAAGTAACTCAGAAAAATGGAAGTTGGGCTCCACATTGGGCTGGTTACTAGTAATTACTAGTCTCGATCAAAGTTAGTAACTCACTATAATGCAATTATGAGGAGTGGGGCACTTACACAGAGTGCTATTTTCACTCTTTCTCCTCTCCACTATGCTCACAAACCAAATTGAACACAACTTTTTAAAATCTGCCGTCCTTCTGCTAGTTAAGACCAAGCAAGGAACATCATCAACTATCCAGAAATTTTCTCTTTTATTCATTACTGCAAGGCTCAACAAAGAACATGTATCATATCATACCGTTGGAAATGTTACAGATGTTGATGTAATAATCTATATTCACACAATCCCAGAAAACAAATTGTTAATATTCCCCCACCATACATTTAGGGGCATTTGCCTGTCTGTTTCTAATTAAAAAAAGAAAAGAGTGGCTTGTCAGCTGCAAAGAATCAGGACCATTGGTGAGGTTGCAGCATAGAAGATTTATTCCAGCCTATACGCAAGTATCTGGTCAACTCAAGTTCAACACTAAATTGGCGCCAGATAAGGGTCAACGGAATTCAGGAGAGTTAGAGTTGGAGCACTTGTGGGAATGCAATGACTCTAAGCTGATGATATGTTTAACTCCGCCCCCACCCCCACTCCACACTCTGCCTGCTGTTCTCCTATGGTACATGGCTTTGAGGATGGATCATCCTGCTGGGAAGATGCCACTCTATTTCTATTTTGTTGTTGACTGCAGCTGAAACTCAAATACTTTGGCCACCAAATGAGAAGAGAAGACTCCTTGGAAAAGATCCTGACACTGGGAAAGATTAAAGGCAAAAGGAGAAGGGGATGGCAGAGGATAAGATGGTTAGGTAATGTATACTGCAATCAATTTTGGCCATCATTCTACAAAAAAGTGTTGAGACTTTGGAAGGAGTTCAGAGAAGAGCAACAAAAATGATCAAAGGCCTGGAGATTAAAACATATGAAGAACAGCTGCAGGATTTGTGTTTGGCTAGTCTAAAGAAAAGAAGAAACAGGGGTGACATGATAGCAGTATTCCAGTATTTATTTCCAGAATAAAAAGAAATATATTCATTTCTGCCTCATATTACTCTCAGGGGCTCTGAAGGCTACAAAGAATTTATTGGTAGGGTCTGTGAAGCTTATGGACCCATTTCCTACCCATCATTAGGCTTGTTCTAATAGCTTCTTAACTGGAGAGCTGCTATAGATTATACGTTGAGCAGCTTTTAAAGGCAGTTTAGAACGCTCAGTTACTAACTGGGACTGTTGAATAAGATTGTATGACACCAATGGGGAAAAAGAGAGAATATTGTGTGCAGAAATGACAGACAGAAATCAATCAAACTTGGGGATCTGTTCTCAGTGGCAGGACTGGAAGATATTGGATTAAATGGGTAATTACACTGATCTGGGCAAAGCAATTTCCAGGACCTTGGAAAAAGGGTTTCCTCTTGAGTTAAATGAGCAAGTGCTTTTAGTCCACAGAAACGGAAAATGTCAGCAGTTTATTTTGTCTCATTGCCTTTTGCCTCCAGGGACATGTCTTATTTGCAAATATACCCTCTGCTGGATGGTTGTTTTCAAGCCCCAGATCTGTTCTGAACAAATATACACAAATGTACCAATAAATCAGAAGCAAATGCACTTTTGTAATCAGCTAGATTGAAACGGCATTCTCTGTGTTTTTTGTTCTCCTTCTCAGGAAGCAGAAAATCCCACAGGATTTCTGCTTTCTTCGGCTTCTAAAGAATCCAGTGGTTTTTCACTCTCAGAAAATTGATTCGTGGGTACGGTTATTTTCCCCTGAACTGGGAACAAAGGCATATCCAGCCATGCTACATCATAGCTAAACCAAAATATTAAAAATAACATTCAAAAGATCAGACAGTCTTAAGTCTGACTCATGGAAAATGGATTCTGTTGACCGGATCATCCCCTTCTTAGCTAATGAATCAGACAAATCTAGCAGATGTCAGACAACACAAGTGCCCTTTTTGCTTCCTGTGTACTTGTGTTCGGGCACATGTTTGGTCCTGACTTCACTTTCCAACCATTGTTTCTTGTCCTGCCTTCTGGTGCTTTGTAGAATAATTTGACCCCCTTTTCTTTGTGGCAGCCCCTCAACTACTGGAATACTGCTATCATGTCACCCCTGTTTCCTCTTTTCTTTAGACTAGCCAAACCCAAATCCTCAGCCATTCTTCATATGTTTTAGTCTCCAGGCCTTTGATCATTTTAGTTGCTCTTCTCTGAACTCTTTCCAAAGTCTCAACATCTTTTTTGTAGTATGGTGACCAAAATTGGTTGCAGCAGTGTGCAGCAGCAGCAGCCAAAAAAGCTAATGCAATCCTTGGTTGTATAAACAGAGGCATAGAATCAAGATCACGCGAAGTATTAGTACCGCTTGATAAAACCGTAGTAAGACCACACCTGGAGTACTGCAGCCAATTTTGGTCACCATATCACAAAAAAGATGTTGAGAGTTTAGAAAAAATTCAGATAAGAGCAACTAAGATGATCAAAGGCCTGGAGACTAAAACATATGAAGAACGGATGCAGGACTTGGGTTTGGCTAGTCTAAAGAAAAGAAGAAATAAGGGTGACATGATAGCAGTGTTCCAGTATTTGAGGGGCTACCACAAAGAAGAGGGCATCAAACTATTCTCCAAAGCACCAGAGGGCAGGATAAGAAACAATGGTTGGAAACTGACCAAAGAGAGAAGTAACCTGGAATTAACTTCCTAACAGTGAGGACAATTAACCAGTGGAACAGCTTGCCTTCAGAAATCGTGGGTGCTCCATCTCTGGAGGTTTTTAAGAAGAGACTAGACAGTCACTTGTCTGAAATGGTATAGGTTCTCCTGCTCGAGCAGAAGGCTGGACTAGAAGATCTCCAAGGTCCCTTCCAGCTCTATTCTATTCTATTCTATTCTATTCTATTCTGTTCTGTTCTGTTCTGTTCTGCTGTCCTATCCTATCCTATCCTATCCTATCCTATCCTATCCTATCTTATCCATGTACCATAGAAGAACAGCAGGCAGAGCATAGGGTGGGGGTGGGGTGTTAAACATATCATCAGCTTAAAGTCATTGCATTCAAACAAGTGTCTTCCAAGTCTAACCGATCACTTCCATGAGTTAGTTCAACCCTTTTCTGAAGCCAACCAAACTTCTCACCAGGACCACATCTTGCAGAGTTTTCATGAAACTCTTTGAACATAGATCCTCAACCTCCTATCTATCTATCTATCTATCTATCTATCTATCTATCTATCTATCTATCTATCTATCTATCTATCTATCTATCTACCTATTTATCTACCTACCTACCTACCTATCTACCTACCTTAGAGACTGTTCATTTACATCTCCAGAACAAGCAAACAAGTCAAACACTAGCTAATAATACCCAACAAAAACAATTCCTTACCATTGTAAGAGTGAAGGGATGGCTTTCAAGAGAGGACACACTTGGGCAGTGCAGAATGACATACTGAAATATATCAGACAAAGAAAATGAAAAAAAAAAGGATAAACAACAGGATAACAAACATCATATGGGGTTGTTACTCCTAATATTGGGCTGCTCATTCCACTGTGAAGTTCTTGCATATGATATTACTATACTACCATCTCTGTGAAAATTATATTTGTGCTTGGACTGGAAACTCCAGCTGGTGCAGAAGGCAAGCATAGCCAGGTTGCTGAGAGGAGCACCAGCTGGCTGCATATTACACCTTGGTTGAAACAAATGCAATGACTTCCAATCACCCAGCCAGCCAAGTTCACGTTTTTGTTTATAATATACAAGGTTCTAAACAGCTTGAAGCCCTGGTGACACAGTGGTTAGAATGCAGTATTGCAGGCAAACTCTGCCCACAGCCTGCAGTTCGATCTTCATGGGGCTCCAGGTTGCTCAGGTTCCCATCCTTCCAAAATCAGTAAAATGAGGACCCAGATTGTTGGGGTCAATATGCTAACTTTGTAAACCACCTAGAGTGCTATAAAACGCTATGTACGTAAACTGATTTGCTATTATAGATCTGGTCAGTGCTACTGTATGTTCTACAACACTAGAAGACTCTCTACTGAGATTCATGAAGGCACTTAGGAACTGTGTATTTCCTAAAATGACATACCTTAACTCAGTTACCTACAATAGTAAGGAGCTATTTCTGGATTACTAGCTGACTGGTTTAAATTGATTGTGGTATTTTTATTCCCAGCCCTGACTAGGGACATAAGGATTTCCGCTAGGGATCTGGTTGGAGAAGACTTTAGTTTTCTCACTGTGAGCAAAATCATAGTAGGATAAATGCGTGCAAGAACAAAGCGCAACTTTGTCTTTCTCTTCAAAAATCCAACTCACATGTTAAAACCATGACGCCAACAGCACCATCTCTTTTCACAGAAAAAAAAACAACATATTACATATTTTCCATAACATGGAGCTCACCTGAACCACTTCTTGAACTGGTCATGCATCTACATAATACTACTGGGGCTCGTGGTCAATCCAAGAAGTGTTGCAAAGCACAAACCATCCTGCCCAAGCCGCTTGTTTAGTACAAGCATGTAGGACCAGATCCTGGCTACCTCATCCTTTTTCAGAAAGATGTACAACATCCAACTCTCTCTAATTTTATCCCAAAATGTTTTATCATTGATGCAAATCTAAAACTATCCCTGTAAAGCAGGCATGTTAAACTGCCGGCCCGCAGGCTGGATGCATCACGCCAAAAGCGCACCCACCCCATTGCCGGCAATGGGGAAAAAGTCACCATATGTTGCACGATGTCATGTGGCGTTGTGAGTTTGACATGCCTGCTGTAAAGAAAGCAGATGAACATAAGTTGCAAGTCCTGAACTGAGGAAGATTTGGAATAGCAACTGATTATTAGCTCACCTGTCCAGGTCTTGCCTTAAAGTCTTCCTTCACCATCTGTATTTCAAGGACATCACACGGATGGTGGATCACCGCAGTGAGTGTGACAGGTTTATAGCTGCTATAGATATAACGGTACAGTCTTTCCACACAATATAAGCATAATGGTCCAGAGATCCAGAGCCAAGTCTGAAGATCAGAAATAAAAGCAGTATTTTTTTCTGGGAAATGTCTGCCAGCAAGAATTAGTTGGCGATTTTAACTCAGTATGTGCAACCCAAACCAGTATGAGAAGGGATGGTTGAGTTGAGTTAACTCTACCTATTTCTTTGTCTATTTTGGGGGATAGACTTTCAAGCCAGCAAGTTGTCATATTGATTTTTTTCATTTAAAAATACTACAGAAAAACTCAAGAAACAGATCCTTGGAATGGTTGAAACATAGATTATTTCTGTGGAGTCCTTGGTGCTCTCTGAGCGTGATGGTTTTCTTGCAGATGCTTCATTACCAAACTAGGTAAAATCGTCCGTGTTAGCACCAAGCTCAGAGAGCTCCCGGGACCTCACCGTTCAATTATGAGCTACAAATATTTTCTTCTATGGATAGATTATTTCTTAAAGTGTATTAAGCAACTGTGTTTCTCTACTTTTTTCATTTAAGAAAAACTTGTATTTATACCAGCACCAAATTCTTTGAACAGAGAGGTTTACAGGTAGTCCTCGACTTACAACCGCAACTGAGCCCAAAATTTGGCTAAGCGAAAGTCATTGGTTAAGTGAGTTTGGCCCCATTTTACAGCCTTTCTTGCCACAGCTGTTAAGTGAATCACTGCAGTTGTTACGTTAGTAACACGGTTGTAAAGTGAACCTGGCTTTCCCAATGACTTTGCTCGTCAGAATGCAATCAACTTATGACCACAATTGAGTCCAAAGTTTCTGTGGTTAAGGGAGACAGTTCTGAAGTGAGTTTTGCCCCGTCTTCCGACATTTCTTGCCCAAGTTGTTAAGTGAATCACTGCAGTTGATAAGTTAATAACCTGGTTGTTAAATGAATCTAGCTTCCCCATTGACTCGGCTTTTCACAGAAGGTCACAAAAGGTGATCCCATGATCTTGGGACACAGCAGTGGTCATAAACATGAGTCAGTTGCCAAGCATCTGAATTTTGATCCCATGACCATGGGGATGCTGCAACAGTCGTAAATATGAAAAACAGTCATAAATCACTCTTTTCAGCGCCACTGTAACTTCATGCGGTCAGTAAATGAACTCTTGTAAGTTAAGAACTACTTGTATTTCCCAAACAATTTATGGAATGCCCAGGTGTCTATGCAATTAGCATCCTTCCAAGAAGCATCAGAGAAGAAACACTATTTTTCAAGAGCTCTGTGCTAATGCAAGTATAATATTTTTTTTTTTAAAAAAGTTATAGGTACCGTATTTTCCGGCGTATAAGATGACTTTCTAAAGCACGCAAATCGGTGCTGAAGTCGGGGGTCGTCTTATTTTATTTATTTATTTATTTATGAGACTTATATACCGCTTTAAGTGCAAGCACTCTCTAAGTGGTGTACACCAGTAAGCAATGTATATATATATATTTACATTGCCCCAACAATCTGGGTCCTCATTTTACCTACCCCGGAAGGATGGAAGGCTGAGTCAACCTTGAGCCGGTGAGATTTGAACCGCTGACCTGCTGAACATAGTCAGCTAAAGTGGCCTGCAGTACTGCACTCTAACTGCTGCGCCACCTCGGCGAGTCGTCTTATACGCCGAGTCGTCTTATACGCCGGAAATTACGGTAATTTCTGGAGTATAAGACGATTTTCTAGGCATGCAACTTGGCGCTGAAGTCGGGGGTCATCTTATACGCTGAGTCATCCCATACGCCGGAAAATACGGTAAATACAACTTCACCCACTTTACACATTTTAGAAAGTAAATAAAATCCTATTGCTTAGATCAGAGTTGCTGGCTGGGGAATTTGGAGAGTTGAAGTCCAGACATCTTAAAGTTGTCAAAATTGAGAAATATTAACTGAAGGAATAACTCATGCCCATGAAGTTCAGATTTAAGTTTTATTTATTCAATTTCTGTAGTTGCCCATCTCAACCTAATTGACTCTTGGATTGTGCTAACAACCTCTTAAGGCAGTGGTTCTCAACCTGTGGGTCGGGACCCCATTTGGGGTCGAATGACCATTTCACGGGGGTCGCCAAACCACGCTGTCCGCCATTTTGTTCCCTTTTCCCTAGCTGTCCTACTCCCTCTTATTGGTGGCCACACCCACTTGGGGGTCACCACAACATGGGGAACTGTATTATGGGGTCACGGCATTAGAAAGGTTGAGAACCACTGTCTTAAGGTTACGGCAAGATTCAAAAGAGAAGCCACCTGAATTGTTTTTAAGTGCACACCTAAAAACACAATCAATTTATGTAACAAATCTGAACCAGCTTTATTAGTTAATGCTCAATATTCAGCAGAGAGTGTCGCCTTGTCAAATTATGCTTCATTGCAAACCTGGATTTGCAGTTTTCAGTACGTTATACATGAGCAGCTCATGGCCTCCACTGGCTACTCCATGCTAAGACTGTCAGACAAGTGCAACAATCATTGTTTAGTCATGGTTTATTTCTTTTATGTTGTTCATACATCCTGAGTGTGTACACTTGACGAATATGTAATGCATATTTTAGTTTTAGATTTGTGTCTGGATTGCCTTCCTATCTCTTACCAGATCTCTTCAACACCACAAATTACACCTGACTAAATTTGGAACTCAGCCTACATGACAACTGTCTGTTCCCTCCCAGACGTTTAGCTGCAAACATTTTAATAGCTTGTTCCCTGTCAACTTGGAATATTTATGAACGTTTGGAGCTTTTCACACCACAAGGGCCAACTGGTAGCAGAAGCATTATTGCCAGCAACACAATATAGCACAGATGTTCACACAAACCTCAGGGAAACAGGCTTGGAATTTTGGCTCTTCTGCACAAGCAACGTTGCTTTTCAGAAGTGGCTGCAGCTCCATCAACGGTCCTGGGAAACGCTCTACGGCACTTCCTGTGAGAGATGATTTGAAGCCACTTTCAAATGGAATGTCCTTTTCGACAGTCCCATTGGGATCGAAACACCCAGGGGGGTGCTCTTTTAGGTTAGTTTGGTATTTCAGAACTCCTCTGCCGAAATAAAAAACAAAAAAAGAAAGAAAGTAAGGCAAATCTGGTCACCGCAGCAAAAAACAGATGCTGAGAACCTAGGTGCACAAAGAAGAGGAACAAAATTGATTAAAAGTTTGGAGGCTAAATTATATAATGAAAGTTGAAGGAACTAGGTATGTCTAGCCCAGGGTTAGGCAACCTCGGCTCTTTTATGACTCGTGGACTTCAACTCCCAGAATTCCTGAAGTCCATGAGTCATAAAAGAGCCGAGGTTGCCTACCCCTGACTTGGGAAAAGGCAAACTCACAGCAGGTTATATGAGCCAGCCATGCTGAGGGGAAAGGGAGAGATTTCCAAGCTGAGTCATGCTGGCTCAGGAATTCTGGGAGTTGAAGTCCACGAGTCATAAAAGAGCCAAGGTTGCCTACCCCTGGTCTAGCCTATCAAAGTGGAGGAACAGAGGGGACATGATAACTGTCTTCCGCTACTTGACAGTTATCATGTCAAGAGGGGATTGACTCATTCTCCAAAGCACCAGAGGGCAGGACAAGAAATAATGGGTGGAAGCTTGTTAAAGAGAGATCCAGCCTAGAAGTGAAGAGAAATTTTCTGACAGTGAGAATAATTAATGAATCGAATCGATTGCCTTTCAGGTTGTGGGTCCTCCATCACTGGAGGTTTTCAAAAATAATCAACTATTTGACCAGGATCGTATAAGACTCCTGCCTTGAGCAGGACCTCTGAGGTCCCTTTGAACTCCATGATTCTATATTATAAAACACAGAATCTCTACTTGAAAAACTCTTGACGTCCCTTTGATTCTATGTTATTGACGAGCTGCCACAAAGAAGAGGGAGTCAGGCTATTCTCCAAAGCACCTGAAGGCAGGACAAGAAACAATGGATGGAAACTGATCAAGGAGAGAAGCAACCTGGAATTAAGGAGAAACTTCCTGACACTGAGGACAATCAACCAGTGGAACAGTTTGCCTCCAGAAATCGGGGCGCTCCATCACTGGAGATTTTTAAGAACACTTGTCACTTAAGTCACTTGTCTGAGATGGCATAAGTCCACCTGCTTGAGCAGGGTGCTGGACTAGAAGACCTCCAAGGTCCCTTCCAGCTCTATTCTATTCTTATATAAACAGTATCTCGACTTGAAAAACTCGAACTGGACCACATCAAGGGACTGTTTTATACAGCCCAGGAGATGATTGTAGAAATACAGGTAGTCCTTCACTTATGACCGTAATTGAGCCCAAGGTTTATGTTGTTAAGTGAGACATTTGTTAAGTGAGCTGTGCCCCACTTTATGACCTTTCTAGCCACAGTTGTTAAGTGAATCATTGAGGTTGTTAAGTTAGTAAAATGGTTATTAAGTGAATCTGGCTTACCCATTGACTTTGCTTGTAAGGAGGTAGCAAAACCTGTTCACATGGCCCCGGGACTCTGCAACCATCATAAATATGAACTAGTTGCCAAGCATCGAAATTTTGATCACATTACCATGGGGAAGGCTGCAACGGTCGTAAGTGTGAAAAATGGTCATAATTCCCTTTTATTCAGTGCCATTATAATGGTCACTAAACAAAGTGATCGTTGTAGGTCGAGAACTACTTGTAGTAGAAGCCTTTTGGAATTAAATGGCAATTCAAAGCAGAAATATCTTTAATTCATTCTCATATTGGGGTGTTCTTCCAGAGATGGGACGCACGGTAGGGTCGTCATGAAACGCAAAACGCAGCCAGAAAATAGCTGTGATTCAAATGTTGTTAAATGAATATTTGTAATGATTTTTGTCCCCACCCACGCGCTCATCTACACAATTTAAATCTAATTACATTCAGGAGTTAAGTTCTGAGGTTTGCTAAGAGTCCTCCTCACAAAATGCAGAGGCAAATAATGATATTTTTTTTATCAATTCCCCTCAGCAAAATCTAAACAACACAACCACATATGTTTTTGCTTCCATAATGATTTCTATGGGACTCCATTTTGAAAAATTATTCTCGCTCGCTGAGGAAAAAATAAAAACCAAAGACAGGACGAGGGAAGTAAATTTATTTTCTCATCCTTTTACTTTGATCCTAAAGCTTGATTGATATCCCCTGACTGGGCAACTTGCAGACTGCTAACAAAAAAAAAAAAAGCTAAAACGGAATGAAAGCAAACAAATGCAGAGGTGAAATTAGCAATCTTGTTTCTCTTTCTTGTAATTGCACTGAGTGCTGTGCTTGTTTTTAATTATCTTTATTTACAACAGTCCCCTCTTACAAAACCATAGCCCTCGCTTTAACCATGCAGAACCTCCTCCACTTTAAAAAAACAAACAAACAGTATATAATATAGGCGGCAAATACACAACATTTTACTCATTTTTACAGTGACAGGAGACCTGGTAATTTCCACATGGAATGCTTTGCTTTAAAAAAAGAAAAGAAAAATAAGAATAAGGAAAAAAAAAATAAGCAAAAACACTGTACTTCACTGAAACAAAAGGGGCCAATTCCGTTTTTTTGCAGCAATAATAATATTTCTAGGAACCATGCTGTTCTGCTAGCTTTGGAGGTAAGTTTTTATTAAAAGAAAGGAACCCACGCTTTAAAATTGCAATCTGAAATCAGAAAGGAGAGGGAAGTGCAAAAAAAAAAAAGAAAAAAAAAAAAAGCTGGTTCTGCCCCAAGATACGGTACATACGAATAGTTTAAAAATGAGGGAGAGGCTGAGCGTGGTATAAAACTCTCCATCTTTTGCCTTTTCTCCCCGCTCCAGAAGTCCTTCAGCTAACAAACCTACAATGCAGAGCCCCCAAAGCAGTGCTGCAGGAACATTACATCGGCCATTAAATCTTATCCTCCTCCTTTAAAAGGGGTGGAAATCATTGCCTGCAGTGAGTATCACTAAAGAGTGTTTGCCTGCTTCTGCATTAACTCGTGGCAGCCAGCAAAATAAGTCCCTTCGCTTTAAAAAAAAAAGAAAGAAAGAAAAGAAAACCAAAACAAAAAAGAAAAAGAAAGAAAACCCACTCTCTTCAGCCAACATTGTGCCAATGTTTTGCTTTCTTTGTTTTTAAGAGGTAGAATACAAAAAATAGAATATCAAGAGTTGGAGGAGACCTTGAAGGTCTTCTAGTCCACGCCCCTACTCAAATAGGAGACTATACCACGGGTCCCCAACCCCTGATCTGTGGACCGGTATTAGTCCATGGCTCTGTTGGCCGTACAAGCAATAGGCGAGAACGGGAAGCTTCATTTGTGCATGCACAGAACTAGGTTGCGTGCACAAAATCATCCCCCCCACCACCAAGGGCTCCGCCGTGGCCTCTGCTGCCAGTCCATGGAGCCAGAAAGATTGGGGACCTCTGCTTTATACCATTCTGGATAAATGGCTGTCCAGTCTCTTAAAAAATTTCAGTGATGGAGCAACCACAACTTCTGGAGACAAGCTGTCCCGTTGATTAATTATTCTCACTGTCAGGAAGTTTCTCCTTAGTTTTAGGTTGCTTCTCTCCTTGATTTGTTTCCATCTATTGCTTCTTGTCCTGCCTCCAAGTGTTTTGGAGAATAAGTTGATACCCTCTTTGTGTCAGCCCCTTAGATATTGGAACACTGCTATTGTGCCACGGTTTTCCCAGTTGCAATGTATGGCTGTGAACGTTGGACCATAAGAAAGGCTGAGCGCCAAAGAATTGAGGCCTTTGAACTATGGTGCCGGAGAAGACTCCTGCGAGTCCCCTGCAAGGCGATTAAACCAGTCAGTCCTAGAGGAGATCAACCCCGACTGCTCTTTAGAAGGCCAGATCCTGAAGTTGAAACTCAAGTACTTTGACCACCTAATGAGAAGGAAGGACTCACTGGAGAAGAGCTTAATGCTTGGAAAGATGGAGGACAATAGAAGAAGGGGACGACAGAGAATGAGGTGGCTGGATGGAGTCACTGAAGCAGTAGGCGTGAACTTAAATGGACTCCAGAAGATGGTAGAGGACAGGAAGGCCTGGAGGAACGTTGTCCATGGAGTCGCAATGGGTCGGACACGACTTCGCAGCTAACAACAATTCCTTCTCTTCTTTAGAAGAGACATGCCCAGTTCCTGGATTGTATGTTTTAGCCTCCAGTCCCCTAATCATCTTTGTTGCTTTGCAGGTGTTAGGTTCTCACCACCATATTCCCATATCCTTTGGCCCCCAGGTTCCTTAAACACACATACTTATGAGAACTCCATATAGGATTCTATTCAGAGGCATCTAGGATGCTCCTGTGTTTGTAGCATCCCAGCAAATCAACTCAATGATCCAAATCAACAACGAGCAGAGAAGGCAAATGAGGGCAGGGCCACTGAGGGTAAAGAGAGGAGAACAAAAGCAATTGTACCAAAGCAATTTTGGATGTGGATAGAGATCAAGAGTGAACTTAGTTTATGTGTCCCCTTCATAAAACTCACGGTGCTACATTCCAGTCTTCTATGTTCAAATTGTTTTCAAACAATAAGCACCAAAGAAGTCAGGAGGCTAATAAACAGAATGCAATGAAGCTGAAAGGAGAAATTTCCTACTAGTGAGAACAATTAACCAGTGGAACAGTTTGCCTTAAGAGGTTGTGGGTGCTTCATCACTGGAAGCTCTTAAGAAGAGCCACTTGTCTGAAATGGTTTAGGGCAGTGGTTCTCAACCTTTCTAATGCCGCGACCCCATAATACAGTTCCCCATGTTGTGGTGACCCCCAGCCACTTATACATCACCGGGTGCCAGGGGCGTGGCCAAAGAAAAGGGGGGGAAATGGCAGACAGCCTTGTTTGGCGACCCCCGTGAAATGGTCGTTCCACCCCAAATGGGGTCCCGACCCACAGGTTGAGAACCACTGGTTTAGGGTCTTCTGCTTGAGCAGGGGGTTGGACTAGAAGATCTCCAAGGCCCCTTCCAACTTTATTATTCTGTATTCTCCTCATTACAGGTAGTCCTTGACTTGTGACCACAACTGAACCCAATTTTTTTGTTGCTAAGCAAGACAGTTGTTAAGTGAG